ATAGCTAAAATAGCTTTCTTGCGCAAGAGAGCGTCCACACTTGTAAGAAAAGAATATAGCTCTTGCGCAAGAAGCACAAGTGGAAGCTGTCTTGGCAAGAGCTCTTGTGCAAGAGAGCTTACACGTGTAAGAAAAGAGCGTAGCTCTTGCGCAAGAAGCCATCTCTTACCACGCCGTACTGTACATCTTCTTGCGCAGGAGTGGGTGGGCAGTGTGGATGCACTGCGGATCACTGCGCAAGAACAGCCATTCTTGTGCAAGAAGCCACAAGTGTAGACATAGCCACAGAGTACAAAGTGAAGACTAACAAAATATGGGAGCAGGAAACCTCAGAAAGTTATACTTGAAATGGCAGCAATTGCTTATTTTCCTGGATGGCTCAACTTTGCATCTTTCCTTTCAAAATGATGGGCTGAAAAAACAAACACAGACAAGACAACAAAAATATACATTTAAATTATTATAGACTCATTTCCCATAAACTTCGGGCATAGATTACACCAGTTTCTATGTACATCAATCTATTAACACTCTACAGAAGTTTTGGTGGTGAATCTGTCCTCCTTCACTATTCGGGGAAACCATGGTTATAAAGCCCCCTAGTGTTGGAAAATCTTTTAACGCTAGAAAGGAACAAGAATTTAAAAAAGCTTCAGAGGGGTAGCCAAGTTAGTCTGTACAGGATACACTTTAAAAATAACAAATAGTATGGTAGCACTTTAAAGATTAACAAAACATGTAGATGGTATCATGAGCTTTCGTGGGTCATCTGAAGAAGTTGTCTGTGTTCACAAAAGCTCAATATACCATCTACATGTTTTATAAGAATTTACAAAACTGCCTTAAGGCTTGGCTAAAGTGGGGAAATTTAAACTACACACACCCTGTATTATGCCATTGTAGCACACCTATACTGGATGGTACATGAGTGTAATGCTACCGGTAAGCGACAGATTTGTTTTAGGTTTTATGGTAAATCTTGGAATTCCCAGTAGTTTGGTTTCTTACACTTTCTCATATTTGTTGTAATTGGTCATAATATTATGTGCCACACTTCTCAGCTATGAGGTTAGTTTCTTGCAACACTAAAATTCCTTTCAGCAGCTGGGAAACATGTTCTTTCTCAAGAATTGTACAATATTAGAACTGGAAGGGATATTGAGAGATCATCAAGTTCAGTCCTCTGCACATACATGCTTTCTACACCTTTATTTCCCCCGCCCCCACACACGTTTAAACAGCACACCCTAGGCATATAAATTGTAAAGATCAGAAGTAACCATTGTGATAATCATTTAAGCAAGTCTCTAGCAAAGCAAGTCAGAGAATGTCACTCAAGAATACCAGTTACACTGTGCTGCCTGCCAAGCCCCAAACGTGTCTACAGAAGCCAAGGCAAACCCTGACAAGGGGAAATCCTTGACCTGTGACCTAAAGGCTCAACAGCTGCCAGCCAAAGAAAGCCACACCATCCCCAATTCATGATGGTACTTTCAAATTTTATAAATATTGTAGAAAGTTTGTTTGTTTGTTTGTCCCAAAAGATCTCCAAAACGGTAAGAGCTAGAAACACAAAATTTTGAATGGATACTACTGATTTCCTAACTTAAATAACTGAATTGGTTATATCTCAAAATTGTTCCCCCTGATAATGAGTTTTTAGTAGCACCTGATCATAGGAAAACAAAGTGCTACAGATCTCAGGTAGAAATTTGAAAGAAGTTGGCATTTCAAAAACTTAGTGGAGCACCACATACTACAGCAGAAAGAGACATCATGAGAGAGAGAAATCATAATACTGTCCGTTTAGAACAGTATGTAGCAGAAAATGAGCCACTGTTAGTTGCTGATCAGAGATTCGCATATGCTATATTACTTTCAATTTTGCTTAATACAGGAAATATTTTTTCATATAATATATATGAGAAAAGTATTTCAAATAAAATAGCTGAAGCAAAATACAGGACTATGTAGCACTTTAAAGACTAACAAGATGGTTTATTAGGTGATGAGCTTTCGTGGGCCAGACCCACTGCCTCAGATCAAATAGTGGAAGAAAATAGTCACAACCATATATACCAAAAGATCAATTTTAAAAAAATTAACACATATGAAAAGGACAAATCAAATTTCAGAACAGAAGGGGGATGCTGGGGAGGGGGGGGGAAGGTGAATGTCTGTGGGCTAATGATATTAGAGGTGATAATTGGAGAAGCTATCTTTGTAATGGGTAAGATAACTAGATCCTTTGTTCAGACTCAGGATCTAGTTATCTTACCCATTACAAAGATAGCTTCTCCAATTATCACCTCTAATATCATTAGCCCACATACGCGTCGGTCTCAACAAAGACGCTAACTATCTTACCCATTACAAAGATAGCTTCCCCAATTATCACCTCTAATACCATTAGCTCACAGACATTTACCTTTTCCCACCTCTAATACCATTAGCTCACAGACATTTACCTCCCCACCCCGCATCCCCCTTCTGTTCTGAAATGTGATTTGTCCTTTTCATATGTGTTCATTTTTTTAATTGTATCCTTTGGTATATATGGTTGTGACTATTTTCTTCCACTATTTGATCTGAGGAAGTGGGTCTGGCCCACAAAAGCTCATCATCTAATAAACCATCTTGTTAGTCTTTAAAGTGCTACATAGTCCTGTATTTTGCTTCAGCTACACCAGACTAACACTGCTACATTTCTATTACTATTCCAATAAAATAGGCTATGTTCATGTAATTTTTACTATATTTTCCCGGAGACACCGGGTATTTCTGCTAGTTCTAATTATTTTTAAATCAGCCTCATACATTATTTTTGTATGACTCCCTCTAGCTATGCAGCTGAAGCCCCATCCCCTCATTTTCCCCTGCCAGCAGCCACCAAAGCCCCACTCCCTCCACACTAAGCAGCGCTACACCCAGGTGCACGCACGTGGCTTTTTAAAGCCCACCCCCCGGGCCTGCGGGTATTTCTGCTAGTTCTAATTATTTTTAAATCAGCCTCATACATTATTTTTGTATGACTCCCTCTAGCTATGCAGCTGAAGCCCCATCCCCTCATTTTCCCCTGCCAGCAGCCACCAAAGCCCCACTCCCTCCACACTAAGCAGCGCTACACCCAGGTGCACGCACGTGGCTTTTTAAAGCCCACCCCCCGGGCCTGCGCATGCGCAGAACGGACTCCTCCCTCCCCTTGTAGCGTCACGGCATTCGAGCGCCTGCGC